TACCAATAATTCATTGATGTTTATTTCCCTGCCACTATTTTCATTTTTATCTATAAAATTTCATATTTGTTGTGTACTTTTCTCTTTCTTTCTTTATTTTGTTCAGTATTTATTCTGATTTCTTTCTAAATCCCATTCCTTCAGTGATGTCTCAGTCTATTCATTTCAGATTTTTTTATTTAATTTCACTTCTCTGTTACCTAAATTTTTCTTTTCTGTCTGGTTCCTTCCTTTTTTTACTATATCTGTTTTTGCTCTTGCTATGTTTGTGTATGCACTTTCTCGTTTAATATATATATGTACCACATTCTCTCTACTTCAGAACTGCTTTTCTTTTCATCAGTCATGCACACGAGCAATATCATCAGTGCAAAGTAACATATTTAACTGTTATAGCATTATTTAAGAAGATGGCTGTCTTCTGGGTTGCTGTGCCATGTACTCTGGTACAATTTTACCAGTGTTTCAAAGATCCTTGCTGCCTCCACAGTCAGGATAATGATGGAGGCAGCAAAGAGCTCTGAAACGTTCGTAAACTTCTAGCAGACTTAGTGTTGTGAAAACATCAAATTATTTAAAAAAATTCATTCTGAATAAAAGTTCACAGTTTCAAGCACCTTATAATAGGTGTTTACGTTTTCAATAGAAAAGAGTGAAAGGCAAAAATAAGTAAATTACACCAAATTATACTGGGCATTTTCAATTGTTTGAGGTGTATGCAGTGTAGGCCTAGATGATGTTATTAGAGTTGGCTGGTCTATTCTGTTTGTCCAGTGATTGCTTGGCAGTTGAAGGGTTAAGTATTTAGTTTTGATAAAATAAAATTAGGGGCCCGCAGTGGCCGCGCGGTCGGAGGCGTGGGTCTTGTGCCGCTTGGTCGCAGGGACCGTGGGTTCGAATCCCACTCAAGCCATGGTTGTTTTTCTGTGTTGTGTTGTCCTGGGTACAGGTAGAGGCCTTGCGACGGGCCGATCCCTCGTCCAAGGAGTCCTACTGAATGTCCATAGATCAAGCCAACTGAAAAAAGTTGGGGACCTGTAAAGGGTACCGGAAAATGTACAAACATTGTTAAACCGGAAAAAGAAGAAGAAAGAAGAATAACATAAAATTTTTGTTTTGCAGACACATACAAGAGTGACACAAGACTTGCATTCCATAATGCAACATCAGAATCTCTTGATGAGTTTGTGCAGTATCTTAAGGACAGTGGATCATCATCTGTTGATCTGTACAATGGAAACTTTTCTCTCCTTCTTGATTTGGCTCCACATATGGCTGCATTTAATGTAAATGTGTGGGAAATGCCTGAAATTAGCATTACTACTATTTACAATGACACAGCACAACACTCATTGCCCATCATCATCAACCTCCTCAGTAATGCTTTCTACAGGTTAGAAAACTGTTGACATGATATTCTTGTCTTATTTTTTTTAACAGATAGGCAATTTAATGTTTGAACCAATATCAAATTCTTCTTTCCAGCATCTGATTGGTCTTCCTCTTACACTTTACCGTGTAGGATATGTCATCTTCTGTATATTATAATCTCTTTAGCTATGTTACTAGCCGTAAGTACCTCGCATATTTACATGCTGAAGTGTATTTAATTAACTGAGTATCTCATGGATTAGAGTTCTTCTTGAGAAGCTAATAATTTAAGTGCTGAGCTAGTCAAGAAATCAATACCTTTCATTAAATCAGAAGATTTATCATCATTTCACAACCATTATTTCACCTGACAGTGGCTTTGTTATTTGAATGAGTAACTAGTAGTGGTCATTGGTGTGGGTAATGCGTATTTTAATGTTTGACTGCTATGTGACTGAGATGAGGTCTGAGGATGAGGTCATAAATTTTCTAAGTGCAACAGAATGGCCTATAAAAATAAATTGAAAGGGGTAAGAAAACTTTACCGTGGTATACCTCTATTTATAGTACCCTGCTCAGAATTAAAAACACTGTGCTGACTTGAAATCTGTTTTCCCTCTAACTGAGATGAACCAATGAGAAAACACCTTATTTCAGATACATTATTAATCACCAAGTTTCAATTTTACACTCCGTGACTCGTTAAAGAAAATCTGCTTTCAGTTTGGAATAGCACTTCATATGAGAAGTCATATGTAACTCCATGAATTCATTTGTTTTATTCATTGTCTATAGTATACATACGAATAAAATTAAGAAAAATTAAGTAAAATCTCAAGAAATATTTTCATTGTAAAGGTAGTATACACCACTAAATTAAGTAAGATATAGTGTGGTTTATTGATAATGGAACAGACTATTTGATAAGATTCAGCTACAGCTATCCTTTTAATTGTTATCTTGCAGGATGCTCATGTCTAAAACTACATTGGAGTATGAGCCTATTGTGGTGAAGACACATCCATTTCAGCAGACTTCGCAGCCAGAGGAATTCAATATGGGCACATTTTCATCTGCTATCTTCATTGGCATGATTTTTGTCCTAGTCCCTGTCTGCCTGGCTGTTGATATGGTGTATGATCGAGAGGTGAATGTTTTAAGTATTTATCATGCGTAAATAATATTAATTTTACCCATTGTTTTCCTATATATGAAAATAGGTCTGTTCCTGTAATAAAGTTTTGTGAAGATCTTAAATGTCATGAATGCTTATGAGTCTTGCTTCATACTTGCAAATTCTGTGGTCAACATTTTGTTCTGAAGACCAGTTATCTTGACTGAGGGTTTTTTGTGTTTTCCTCATTTTGTCCAGGTATGTTCTTGGATAGTACATTAAATTAGGTTGTGACCACTTCTTTGTAAATATTTCAAATTCATTGATCATGCTGTTATCGATCTAATACAGTCTGATCTACTTGACAGCATTGTTAAATAAACTTGAAATAAATTTCTAGGAGAATATTTGGACCTAGAAGACATAAACTGCCCAAGGAATTGAAGAAATTCCACAACAGCAACTTCCTATTATATGGTATTGGAAGGAGGAATTGGGCTTATATTTGTATTAAAATCATGTTGTGCTTCCATTAAAGAATTGCAAGAAACTGTGTGTGTTTATTTGTGGATTATAAAACAATTGATAATACATTCTATTACTTGATATTCACTGTAGGGTTTCTTATTTTCTCCTCATCTAATTATGTATCTTGGCACTAGGTGAATTTTCACTCGTACACTCTGGATGCTTTACTAATGCATAGAACCCTAACCTATTAGATTCCAAGGCTTGGTGAGTGCCACATCCAGTTTGGCCATTGTGGCAAGGAAATCATCTTTGACCTGTGGGGAATTAAAGTTTTCCAGCCCATAGCTCCTTTTTAATAACAAAGCTATTCTAGCTGCAAGATTTAAGTGGCTGTAAGGATTTTAGGGTGGAAATTAAATTGACAGTTTATTTGGGTAATTCTGAAGTAGATGGATGATGATGTGGAAGGAAATTGGGAATGTACAAAATAAAATGCAAATAACTTTTTTGTGTGTTGCAAAATTTTAATCCACTGTATGATGTTCTGTTAAAATTCATGCATGAATTAATTAAAATTATTCTTCTTTCACAGATAAAAGCTAAAAACCAGCTGCGGGTGAATGGGCTGTCTTTCTTCATGTACTTCATCACTTACTTCATGGTGCTTGCTGGATTGATGTTGTTCATATGCATAGCACTACTAACATTAATATTTGTATTTGATCTGCCATCGCTGCAGGAGCCTCCTGCATTTTGTACCATGGGATTGCTCATCATACTCTACTGTCCTGCTTCTATCTTGTTTATCACCTGTTTCTCCTATATTTTTGACAAGATGGACTCAGCACAGTCCATACTTCCTAACATTGTTACATTCCTTGGTCTCATTCCTTTTCTGCTGGTTATGTTCCTTGATATGTTAAGAATAGGTAAGTGTCAAATATTCAAAATGGCATCAGTTATGGGACTTCATCCAAAAGTTGATGTTCTTAAAATGGTGAAGATGTTGATTGTGGTCTCCTGAGTTTTATAGTCTTGTGAGTGGTTACCAACATTTCAGAGGAATGTGTTACTTCCATCCTCATTCTACCCTGAATATGGAAGTGGTTTGTTCATCCAAAATATTGGTAACCACCTACAGGGTCATAACCTATAAGACCAGAATCAGCTTCATGATTGTTGATTATGAACTACTAAAATTACATGTTGACAGTATGACAGACTGGCATGTTATGATGTACCACAAAGGGCTTTGGACTTGGAATCATAATTTTACCTGTTGTTTTATATGTATGTGAAATTTGGTCTGTCTTCCTAACGAAATTGGAGAGTGATTCCTGAAGATACAGAAATGTAACATACATGTACAGGATACAAATTAGAATTTAGTTTTGCAATTTATTTTATACAAAGAACTACTGGGATTACATATGACCAGAAGTATAATAGAAATCTGGTTATTGTGATAGCTTTACAGATTTATATGTTTTTTGAAGTTATATAAATAATAAAAAAAAAGATATTAATGATCTTGTTATTGATGTCAGGTGGACGGGCAGCTATGGCACTGCATGTGGTATTCTCCCTGCTCAATACCATGTACATACCCTATGCAGTGGTGTACTTTGTGGACAGAGTTCACCTGATGTGCCGTGTCAACTTGGCCTGCACAAATCTCACATTTGCTGACTACTTCACTGATGAAATTATCGTCATGCTAGTTGGCATCCTGCTCCATATCCCCATTTGGTTCTTTGTTCTGCTTATACTTGACATCAAAAAGTCTGGAGGACGGGCTAGTGATGTCTTCAAATATTTCTTGGTAATGATCTTCCAAACTTGAAAAATATTTTTAACCTTTAGGTACTGTGCAGGATAATATTTTTTCATATGTAAGATCAGTACTATGTTTCAAACAGGAAAAGTGAGTGCATGCAGATGTGGTGGTGGTGGTGGGGGTGGATGTTAAATATTTTAATGAAAAATTAATCTCTAAAATATAAAAATGGCAAATAAAAGTTTATTCTTGCACCAATCTGTGTTTTTTTTATTCATTTTAGTGATGTATTTGTAATTTTCTTTTTCTGCATTTTATAAAAGGAAAGGCAGTATAAATATAATGTTGTTTACCACCAAAAATTTAGCCCTGTATTTACTAGCTATGATAGAAAGAATGCAATTAACATTGTCAAAAAAGAAATCAGTGCCATCAAATAATAATGAGTTTGTTTTCAAACTAATTTATGAACCCTTTAGCCACTTATAACCAAATTTGATAGAAAAAGGTATATAAAATAAAATGATAACTAATTTTATGTCCTCCAATCTTACAATAAGAAACTGATTAGGGAATAAGAACAAAATTATTTTGCAGCAAGTTTAAGTGGAATAAAGAGTAAGACATTTATACCACCCTTGCCATATAACTCAAAATTAGGGGTGGGGGAGAGAGAGGAACAGTAACAATTTTTGCAACAATGTTCTGCTCTAACTTTGGACAAATAAATTCAATTTGGATTTGTTTTACGTTAAGGAAAATAAATTAGCTGTTTTAAAAGTAGTACTTCAAGTACTGTCTTGAGTATGGAGATTATAGGATTAAATTATTGTTTTATTACAAGCTTCAGCATAAACAGTAACAGTCCTATTATCTTAAATTCTAAATATAGAAAATACATTTAATAACATACTAAATTATTTATTTTTTAGATTTAGTACATTACCGTATTTCCCACTTCTAGAAAAAGATGGTTAGTTAAAATAACCAAGGGATCTTTCAGAACTGTTCATATGACACTGTCAATAATATAAATGTTACTTGCCACACATTCCAGCATTCCAAATTAAATACACTTTCAGTAATGTAATATTTTAATAGGATGTAATCTTTATCTGAAGAATACTTGTTTTCAGCCAAACAGCAATAAGACTGTGGATGAGGTGGAGAACAGTGATGTTGGAGAGCATGAGGATAATGATGTCAGGACAGAACGACAGAAGGTTGCTGATGTCTTATCAAATAGGCGTACAAACCCTCCTGTTGTTGTAGTGCAGGTAATTTATGATGATTTAGAAACACACACATAAATGTAAAATAGTCATCTCTTCTAGTCTTATGGATTAAGCAACTTGATGCTAGTACAGCCTCAGAAACCTCTTTCCTGCACCTCCTTGGTTCTTATCTTATAATCTGTCCCATCAGACTTAAGACTTTGCTATTCTTGGTCACATGTTTTTACCCTCTGTTTATATGCTCTTTCTAGCTCTTCCTATATGTAGTAATATCTTCTTTTATAACCAATTTTGTTTCATACAGGCTGTATACCTTCTTCAGTACTATTATTTTGAAACTTTCTATCATTTATGCCAGTTCCTTTCTCTTTTTTTCCTTATGTCATAACTGTATTGAATTGCTGGTTTAAACAGCATTTTTAAAATACATACTTTGCTAATATTTGCCATTTATTCCACATTTTATTTAATATTTTCGAAGTGGACAGTTTGAAACTTAAATTATTGTGTTACATTTAAGTTTCTTTAGATGTTTTGGAAGCCAGAATATTTTCACTTCATCTGATCTTGTTATTACTTAAACGCTGCACGGTTATTTAAACATAAATTAAACATATCAGTAACAACTAATGACAGTGCACGCCGGAATATTGAATGCTTATATAACATTGGTTTACCCAAAAGGAAAGCACAATATTTTCTATCACAGTAGCACAACAAGGACGTTTATCCCAAACAGCAGTTATGCAAGCAAAAACCACTAATTATGAATATATGTTAATTTTAGAACATTGGTTCTTTTGCCCGTATCAGTGAATAAAAATTACTGTATCTTTATTTAAACACACATATGAACAATCAAGAAATTACTGGCTATGAGTAATTATCCATATTTAATTTTGTTAAATCATGTTTAGTCAGCAATAGAAGTACATAAATGGTAGCTTCTAAGTGTATTAAAATCAGTAGAACCTATTTATATTATTTTAATATCAGCAGGGTATCAGAAGGAGGCCATGAATGCTTCTTCCCCATTTATTTGCAGCTCATAATACATAATAGTCTTGTCAATTTATACTAAACAACCTCTGAAGATGATACATCCTCATTAATAACCTACAGACTTAACAACCTAATCCAAAGCCCTAGTTTAAGGATGATCAGGTTTATGGGGTAGGTTTTAGGATCGTAATTGTTAACATTAGTATGCAAATGGTAAAAAGTATTATTTGTATCCATTGATCTGTCAGTATAGTTGCAATTCTGTAACTCGTTTCTGTTCTGATTTTCAGAACCTGCGCAAGGAATACCAGAAGCTGATGATGAAAGTTTGTTGTGGAGGTACTGACAATAGCTGCTGCTGTATAAAGGGAGATGGCACTATTGATACCCATACCAAAGTGGCTGTGCGCAACCTGTCATTGGCTGTGGATGCTGGAGAAGTATTTGGGTTGCTCGGACATAATGGTGCAGGCAAGACAACAACAATGAAGATCATGATAGCAGAGGAAGCAGCTACAAAAGGCAGAGTAAGCATTTTCTTAATCATTATTACTAACAGCAGTTGAGAGGTTTGTGTGGGAAGATACCTATCCTTCTAACCCATACATTGCCATATATTTAAGTTGCCATTTAAACCCTTTGGACAGACACTTTTACTACCCACAAAGGATAAAAGGATTACCATATTCTGCCCCCCTCCCAATCACCCTGCATACTGGTGTGAAAGGTGCACTATGATATAAGAAGTAAGTATTCACTGTTTGTACATCACAAACCTTTAGTACGACGGAAAGGATGATTTTAGGGTGTATTCTTCAGAGAAAAGAAAATGTCTTAAATGTTTGCAAATATGGCGTACATTCCACTTTCTCATTGCTTGAGCCATAATACAGAATGTTTGATTGTGGAATTAGGTTCAGATCGGTGGACATAACATCACTTCCAACATCGCTGATGCTTTCCAACTGATGGGTTACTGCCCACAGCATGATGCACAGTGGAAGAACATCACAGTAAGGGAGCACCTCGAATGTTATGCAGCCATTCGTGGTGTTCCACCCAGTGATATAAACAGGTAAGTTAACATGAATGTGTCTGTATGTCTTCAAAGTTACAGAAATTTCAACACAATTTTACATTCAACATAATCATACTTTGCTTCTTATTCTGCTTGGGTGGATATCATTAAGATTAAATATGAACTTTAGAGGTGTTATGTTGAGAAATTAGTTCACTGAAATGTGTTTGTGCTTCAGGGTGGTAGACTTGTATCTAGCAGGGCTACAAATACATGAACATGCTGGGAAACAAAGCCAACATTGTTCTGGAGGAACGAGGCGTAAACTGAGTTTTGCCATGGCTATGGTTGGTGGTCCATGTGTGGTGCTGATGGATGAACCCAGCACAGGCATGGATCCTCGATCCAAGAGGTTCCTGTGGGACACTATCCTTGCAAGCTTCCAGGTAAATCTTCATGAGGGAATTGACATTATTCTTATTTTGTCAATTTCTTTGTTTTATTAATACACAACTTTTTTGTGTAAATTTTATAATTTTTGTACTTGAAGCATTCAATTATAAAACTTCTTATCAGAAGATGATGCTTCTGTATACAGGGAAGTAAATGAACTTTGTGATGAAAGCACTTGAAGAATCAGCTTTGCATATAGTGAAAGTTTGCCGTTGGATTCTATCCTTTGCCTTTCCAGCCCAGCTTAATTCCTCGAACCTATTTCTGAAAGAACTGTTTCAATACTGTCCTGATTATGCATAGGTTTACTAGGTGATTTCAACAGAAATTGTCTGTATTTTGTTTTAATTTGCTCCAAGTTTGCTCCATGTTAGTTTCTTGTCATTTCAGCTGTGAACTCAGAGTAAGGTTCAGGATGAAACAGTGTGTGCATACAGGCATAATCACACAGTGTATGTAAAATGAATAATTCATTTTTTATAGTTTGCATGGCCTAAGTCAGACGGTGAGTTAGTTCCATGACATGCTCTGAAATAGGCAAGTAATTGAAAGGTAAAATGAGGAGAGGAAGGATGTTCCAGAATCATGAATTATATTTCTGTGCTTCTTGTCTGATAATTACTGGGAATTCCTTCTTTCTTTTCTCTGTCATAAACTCAGGATTTCTCTTAGCTGACCACACTTGTATCCCTTGCATTTGGACCCTTCACCCCCAAAGGGTATGAAGACCCTCAATTCTGAACCTCCGCTGAAGTGTGAGGGCAGTAAATTTAAATGAAACTAATATGTGCATTATGTTGACAGGGAGCCCGTGGTGCTATCCTCACAACACACTCTATGGAGGAGGCTGATGCTCTTTGTTCTAGAGTTGGTATTATGGTGAAGGGTGAACTCAGGTAAATGTGAAAGTTTTAATATTCTTCTAAACAATCAAAATCAGCATGGGATTTGAAATATATACACATATAATTGGCAAGACAGAAATAACATAAGAGAACAAATAATGACATTAAAACAAACCTACCACTTTTGTCATTATACTGGCAATTATTTATAATTTATTTTTCCAGATGCATTTCAGCCCCATGAGGCTATCCTCCGGGGCTCTATATTTGGTTGGAACTTACATGTTAAATGTATAGTCATAGAATTATAAAATGTCACAACTAAGTCATCTTCTACATTAAAACACAATTAAATGTTTTGTAAATATAAGCTAAAATACTGTGTACATATTTTTGAGTACACCTATATCAACAGTCATACTACATTATGTCTTGGAATATTGTTGCACTTTATGTTCACTACATAGATGTTATTTCACTTGTAGTGGAATTGAAAGTTGTATTTTATGCACTACTTGCAGCACTTTCAGTGTCTGGATATTCTGTTTGTTTTGCAGAACTTAATATTATTAATTGTTGATTCTGAGTTGGTGCCTTGTATAAATTAAACTACAAACTTGTGGCAATCTGCAGACCACTGGTTGAGAAACTCTGCATTAGATATATGTGGTTTTGCAAATCTGATTCTGACCACTGCCACTAATACTGAAATAGATAGGAAGGGGAGTGCTACATCCGTCAGTGTGATGGCAGCTGGTCATTGGGAATGGGAGCAGAGCCAGTTCCCAAAACCTTACATATATTTTGCATACCTCAGACAGAGGACATTTCCTGTACTTCATGCAGAAAATTAGAGGGAAAAGTCTCCTTGTCCTTCTTCTAGGATTATTCTAATTTTATATGGGTCAGTGGCCAAAACGTCTTTTGTCTGTTCTTCCTTCTCACTGTCTTTCCTCTTTGATTTCTTGCCAGCTTTTCCCTCTTTTCTTGATGTCTTCTGGAACCTGGCTTAACCATCTTATTCTGCTTTGTACCATGGACCTCCTTTTTTCAATTTATATAGAAAATGAAAGTAACAGAAGAAAATGGAACAGTTTCTTCTTGTTACTGTTGAAAATTTGTAAATGTGCAGGTGTATTGGATCCACACAACATTTGAAGAACTTATATGGAGCTGGCTATACATTGGAGATGAAACTCAGAGGAGGAGATCGAACACCGACAACACCATCATCCGATCGTCACTGTGATCTCAAAGAGTTTGTTGCTGGCTTGTTCCCCGATGCAACTCTAGAAGAGAGTTTTGCAGATAGGCTAATGTTTAGTGTTCCCCAGCATGCTGTCACCTCATTGGCCGAATGCTTCTCACAGCTTGAGACAGGTAAAAGTTATGCATGTACATATGTTAATTTGTCATTCAGAAGAATAGGATCTTAAGGGAATATGTTTTGACAATTAAAAGTTAATTATATTTATTCAGGATTGGATGTGTGTGTGCAGGTGTTTGTACTACAGGATTTGAATCATGTTCTGGTACCAAGTATTTGGTTAAATTTCTACTTTATAAATTTTTTTGCATGAATAGTTACTGACATGTTCTTATTTATAACTTACAGCAAAATCAGAACTTGACATTGAGGAATACAGCTTTAGTCAGACAACTCTTGAACAGGTGTTCCTAAAATTCGCTCACTATGATGAGGTGAATGGTGACTAAGAGACGAGAGTGGAACATTGTTGAATACTGACAGGTTTCAAATTGGCTAAAGAAGGGGGTCAGTAATTGGCATCAAGACTTATGTTCACCAAGCAACTGGTACATCTTGGAAACAAGAAGGCAGTGAATTGATTCTGTCTACCTCGTTGTGAGCAGTGCAGTGATGAATTGTACAATTATTTTACTTTCCACTAGATTGAAATAAGAGTGAATGTGTTTGACAAAACCATTCTTGGGGTATTTTAAGTGAAAGTGGAGTTATGATACACCATGTTGAGAGATTTAGGAAGAAAATAATTTCTTTCATAATTCTTAATGTTTTGTTTTGAGGGAAGAAAAACAGTAGACTGTAATAACAGGGATTATCTAGTTTGCTGTAATTTTGTTAAGACTCTTGTTTGAATTGTTTTGGTGGAATGAGTGCCTGAAAGAAAGTGATTCAATGTGTCCATAAATGAGACAGCCTCAGAAGCTGTGTTGTTGCATGATAATTTTCCTTGCTTGCTTATATGACTAGTGCTGATGTATTCCATTATGACTTCATACTTAAATAGAAGCCTTAAATAGATCCCACATGATTATAAACCTGACTATGTGGGTAAAAACATTTTGCAGACATGTAAATGGCTCTCTTAATATCCAAAATTATGGAAATTTTCAGATATGAAATATCAGTTTTATAAAACACAGGTTGCTTTCTTCATGGTATTAAAAATTATGTTGTTCATCAATCTATTTAAATGTAGAAGTTATAAGTGACTATGTACATTGGTAGGAATTATATCTGACAATGTACTGAAATGTGACAGTAAGGTTTTCCCTCCTTAACCTTTATTGGTCGTGCTACACAGTATAAACATAATCCTGCTGGCTAAGCCTCGTAATAGTGCACTGTTAAACCATTAAACCTCAGAGTTAAAGTCAAACTGGCAGCTCCATGATGCAGGGTTTTGAATCCACCATTATTGTACAATAAAGGTTAAAAATTAGGTTATACAGAATGCAGTACTTGCCATCATGTAATACACAAAAGAAACTGTACAAGATTGTTAATTTGTATTGCCTTCATCTCATTTAGATGAAAATTCTTGTACTACATTTTCTTCCGTTGTGCATTTTTGGACCTTTATGTTGGTAACTGCAGAACAGGCTGCATGCAGACTTTGCTTTAGGATGGAAAAGTGGACCTCAAGTCACAGCCACTGTGAAGTGGGGAACTGTAACTCCTAGTCTTGTATTTGAAATTGATCGTAGCAGTTTTGCCTCTCATTTTCATCTCACCTCCTCTCATACAGGAGGACTCTCAGTGATCTGCTCTGAATGATAACAGTGAACATTCTTTAAAGACTAAAAGTGGGGCAGAAGTTATCATATTTTGAATATGAGGGCTCTAGTTAAGCATATAAAAATCTTAAATTTTATTGAATGGAATACATTTCTTGTTATCATATAATGACTTCTGAATATGTAATAGGACTCAATATTTTTATATACCGGAACCAAAGAAATGGAAGGTAAAAAGAAGAGAGAGAGAGAATATATCTTTCTTAATATTAAATAAATGTTTAATAAGTATCTGATTAAAGTATTATTATAACTTGAGTTCTTATCATTATGGAATGAAATATAATCTGCTAGCCCATTGTAGTTTGATTTACAATGTTATTTTTATATTACTATGCAGGCTTTGTCATCATCACCACCATCTTCATTATAGCTCTTGGCTTGTTCCACTTACAAAGACTAAAACCGTTCCTTCCGAACTTTGTGCTTATTAAAATGATTCAGTTCTGAAGAATATTAATCCTTTAGAGATATGTTAACACTTGTTTTCTTGTGGGATTTGAGGTTTTAATGGTGGTGAGTCTGAAGATTGCTGTCTTCTGGGTTGTTGCTCTGTGTGGTCTGGTAGATGTCCACCAACGTTTCAGAGGTCA